GAATTTCCCCATACCGAAAGAAATGTTGCCCACATGGGAACATAATGTCAAAATAACAGGTTTTTAAATCACATCCAAATGTCCCCATAATGTAATGTATATCCGACCCACACACACGCATGCTGATGCAGACATGCTGACTGACCCAGACAGAAACTTAAAGGCACCACTGGCTGATGGGTTCTCAGCATCAGGGTTAAACCAGAGCCACTGGACCCCAACAGGACAATGCTGCTACCAAATATAGGTCCGTCGCCATTGTAATACACAGCATTACAGCCATATATTTAACATACTTAACCTTATAGCAGATGCTTTTTTATCCAAAGAGACACACATTTAGGGAAAGCAGGGAAAGTATCCCTGGAGCAATTAAGTGTTAAAAGAGACCTTTGCTCAGAGGCCCACCAGCAATAACCCTCTGCCACCTCTGGGACTTGAACCAGCTACCTTCCGAACACAGGCACAGTATGCCAACCTGCTGAGCCACACACAACCCTAGAAATCCATTAATGGCTTAACCAGAACTCCAAGGAATGGCTACAACCAACTAACATGGCAATATTGGTATACCACCAGCACAGGCGAGATGGACAATTCCACTTTGGTAGTGAGGCTGGGAGATCACTGCTGAAGAGTGTGTGTGTGTGTGTGTGTGTGTGTGTGTGTGTGTGTATGTATGTATGTATGTATGTATGTGCGTGTGCGCGTGCATGTCTGCACCAGCGCATGTTACGTGTCAAGTTCCCATGTGAAGCCCAACCTCAGCCTAACTGCAGGCAACATTTAACCATGTTTAACTGAACGCTCCGTTTCCCCAACATAAAGCAGAAAGCGGAGCGAGAAGAGTGTCTCACAAAGCGTGCTTTTATGACGAGATTCCCACGCTAGCTTGTCATTAGCAATCCCCTGTCTAATTAGTGATTGAAAGCCGTCTAGCCCTCCTTAGCTCCTCCACAGCAGGAATGATGATGGTGTGGCCGGGGCTATGACGGTGCTGTCCTTGTCCCCACAGTTGCATGTGTTCCTCTTCAATGCAACTATAATTGTGTCTCAGATTAGCATCACGAAAGAAACAATACAGAGTGATTGCAGTTTAGCTCCTAAGCAAAGACCGCAATTCCGCTGTTACTTACAGCCTGTGTCTGACGTCACTGCATAGGTCCATCATACGCACACTGGCAGCAGAGGTGGGTAGTTCAGGTCCAGAGAGTAAAAGTCCAGACCAAGTTTTCGTTTCAACCAACTAGTTCAGTACTCTGTGACTATGACTCTTTGGTTGAAACAAAATCTTGGTCTGGACTTTTACTCTCTGGACCTGAACTACCCACCTCTGCTGCCAGTGTGCGTACGATGCAGGGTCGGCGGACTCTAAAAAGTCATTTAGATATGAACAATGGTGCAGTTTCCACGGCCGACTACCAGATCATAATTTGCACAAATACCTCGTTCTGTATAAAGCAGCTCACAGAGATTCACAGACCAAATTTGTAATCATGTGTCAGTTTCATTTTCATTTATTTTAATGATGTTTCCCTTTGTATTCTTGTTTTTAACTTACTGTCCTCCATTAACGTTAGAGATGCTGACCAGCACGTATCAGTATATCTGGCTTTAATTGTGCAAAACTGGTACATCTTTGTATTAGATACCTGAGAATGTACCCATAAAACTCACCCCTGCACAAAGTGTATTTCACGTGTGTTGTTCTGAAGAAAACAGTGCCATCTAGTGTACATCCTCATTGCTACTCACCCACAGACTGCATCTCATATTACATTCCTCTTCCACTACACTGGCTACACTTCACAGCTGACAGAGGACAGCGTTTATACAGTAAGATTCGGGTAATAAGGGGTTTATATTAAAATCTGACTGCTGCCCCCTCTCTGTGACACTCCCTCTGTGACGCTCCCTGTCGGCTCCACAGAAACGGCTGCATTAAAAAGCTCAGAAGAGCCTCCTCGCATGAGGCAGACCGCGCAGCGCAAGACACCTCCCTCCCCGATCCTCCACTCGCCCCCCTCAGCACAGACTACAGAGCATTTCAGAGCAGAAGAAAGCCGGCGTACCCAATCTTACACAGATTTCCACTTCAATGCATTTGGTACGCCCTTAAAATGCCCTTAAAACACCCAGTAAAATGCAAATGGTGTTCTACGTGAAGCAGAGTAACAGATAATTAAGCATTCGTGAGTGTGCCTGTGGTCAGGTATTGTAGGCCAGCAGACAACATGCTGAAGGTGACCCCAACTGAACCAGTAACTCAGTTTTAACTGGCAAGGCCCTCAGCCCCTTAAGCCTCAGCGGCAAAGAAACTCTGCCACCTCCCCCCCCCCCCCAAGCTGCATTCACTACCTTAAAAAACCTTCATCGCCAGTCCAGCTACAGTATCTATCAGAAGTTGAAGGACCTGCGGGGAGAGCCGCAGCCGCAGTGACCTCAATTAGCAAACATTCATAAAGCCTTAACCATGACATACATCGCAGAACAATGAGACCTAGATTCAGATAAGCGGTGGAAAAAGAATGAATGAACAGACAAATGTTTGAATGAATGAACAAATGAATGAATGAGCACTACAGAGTAACTAGCATGAACGATGTTAGGTCTACCCTCCAGCGCAGGACACGATATGAAATAAACCATGAAATAAATTAGCTCCCAACACATGGCTATGTGCAGCAGATTCTGATTGTGAAGCTGCTTCTGGGACAGCGTGGCTGGAAACAGGGCCGCTTCAGCCCCGCGGTGCCTCGTCTTACAGGAAGCAGCAGAGAGACAGTGTGGCACTGTGGCGTCAGGACGCCAGCGACACAATGGCTTCCGGCGCATTTTGCGAACAACCTCATCCAGCTGGATCCAGGCTTTAACATCTGGGTCACTCGGGCAAAGAGTCCTCTCTCATGGGGAAGCCATTCCTTTCGAGGCAGAGGGGGGATGTCGCACAGAGGCTGGAAAGTAGATCAGGGAGGGCTGTGCGAACTTTGCTGGGGACACACTGAGGGCTGTGCACGCTACACCTAGGACCATGTGACATGCGGCACCTGTATTACCATAATACCCCACACAGTCCTATTCTTAGGGAAAACAATTGTGTCACTGCAGACAGGAAATAGCTTGTCTGACCTAATGGAACAGAATGCCTTTATTATTTTTCTATAAAATTCTTTGCTTATCCCATCTCGCTCTCCTACGAGACACACACAAAAAGTAAAGATTAGGGTCAGAATTTAGGGTCAGCCATTTATCCACCACTCAAGGGCCTGAGAGTGATGCAACTCCTCTGTCAACCACGGGATTTGAACCAGCAACCTTCTAATCACAGAAATACAGCCCTAAACCACAGAGCTGCACTTTGAAGTTGATTAGTGGCGTTCCCGGACTGGGAATCAAACCTGAGCTGTAGTAACGAGAGCCCCGAACCCAGACCACAAGAGACCCTCCCCAAGACCGTTATTAAATGAATGATACTTGTAATTAATAATAAATGCAAAAATAATTAAGTAATATAAAAGGCAACAACCACAGTTAGCACTAAGCAGTCTCCAGAATAAAAAGCAGCAGATGTCAGCATGAATTATCTGGGGTTCCATGTGTCGGACGCCTGACGTAGCACTGAAGCCCTTTGGTTATTAATTATTTACCGCCGCAATCTGACCATTCTACTCACGGAATGGCTTTTTCTTCTGTTCGAATTTCTCAGCTGAATTAACACATCTCCGGTGTCGCATTTAGCGAGACGGGAAGCACGCACCCTGAATTCGTCTCACGGCGGCCGCACCTTATTGCCGGTGAGAACACGGCGCGGTGGAATGAGCCGGCCTGGTTCTCCTCTGGCACTTAATGACTGCGCTCAATATCCAGGCCGGGAGAATTAAAAAGCTGCCACATTTTTAAAATTTAAATGCTGCTTCTGGTTTTTAATGGCAGCAGGGTTATGAGGTGGGGGGTTGCTTTTCCTTAAGCTCCCCCACCCCTGTTATAAACTTATTCCTCATTAAAGACTAGAGTGAATGATAAAAAGTGTGATAAAAGAAATAGGAATCAGACTGCAGTTATACAACTTAGGTCAGTGTGCCTGACTGGTCAACACAATAATAAAAACATCAAGAATGGGAAGAAAGGCTTTTGGGTAAATCCATCCATCCACCCACTAACTGTGTCCAGTACACAGTCACAGGGAGCCCAGAGCTTATCCCAGGCAATACAGAGTACAAGACAGACCATTGCAGGGCACAATCACACACAAGGGGCAACTCAGAGACAGTTCACCTAACCATGTTTCTGGGAGAAACCACAGCACCTGGAAAAACCCACTAAAATATCCAAACTGCACAGCAAGTACCAGAAGCCAAACCCTAGAGGTGAGAGACAACAGCTCTAACTGCCAAGAGCCTGTTCAGCCCAGAGCTCCAGGAAAGATCCAGGTCACGGGCACTTGTTAAGTTAACTTAAGGAACAGGAAAACAAAGACCAGCTCCAGTGCTGTCAAGAAAAATATACGTCTACTCTGCAGAAACAGGCCTCTCATCTTAATGGGGATTCGGAAATTCACTCCTTACAGCTTTAACTGCATCCAATAAAGTCTTAGCTCATTGACAGCTTACTCCTTTCTTCCTTGTTTCATGGAAATTAAGCAAATACCTTTTCCGATATTTACTTATTTCGATAATTACCCACAGCAGAGATTAATCGCTGTTCTGTAACTGTACTACAAGCATGTTCTCGAAAGGGCACCTGTGGTTGTGTCGGCTGGTACCGAATTGAATTCCATTTGTTTCTGTTATTATTTTTCCCTGGGGAATGGGAGCTCATCTGCAATGTCACAAAATTGCCTTTGGATAATGTATGTACACAGCACTCGTAATTGCAGAAAAGGCTGTTCCACCAGCTTCTTTAACAGATCTGTGCATAAATCTGGCAGGCCTTGCGTATTTGTGATACTCATACACCCCACGACTGCTCCATCTGCGCACCCCCTTGTGCCCCACATCTACCTGCTTGGCCAAGTTGACGGAGTCGGCGGTCAGCCTGTCCCTCAAGTGTGGGTCCAGCTGGGCAGCCGGGGCGATTTCCACCACCTTCTGGTGCCTCCTCTGGATGGAGCAGTCTCTCTCGTACAGGTGGATGACATTGCCGTATTTGTCACCTAAGGAGTGACAAGGAAACAGGTCTTTCTAATTACCTGAGATCCACAATACTCAGAGATCCTGTGACCACAAACAGAGCGATATGGTAAAAAAACAATTTGAGCAGAGATCACAGTCAGCTCAGGTGCATAAACCCCCTTTCATGCACAGAGAAGCCATTGCAGTATATAATTTAGCAAACCACTGATTCTGGAAGTTAAAATGGCAAATCTGCTCTTGTATCTGAAATCTCACCTCACTCGTATCCCAGTTTTCCTTCTCCATTCTCCAAACTAAGAAATCCAGGAATGTGGCTCATGACACCTGTACTATTTGATTACCCCACATTGAAGTGCCACAGTTGAACAAAAGTGGAGATAATTATGTTGCCTACTAGCCCACCATCAGGAACACAGTGCAGGCATGAAGGCCTCCAGACCACTAATGAAGAAGGCCTTCTCACCACTGGAAATCCATCATCTCAGGCCCTACGACCCTCCCTATTTTCACATTAGTTATTAGTGAAAAACCCAGGTGTCCTGCCACTCAGACACATCCCATTCAAGCCACCAAAGCCAACCTTTGGCATTTGAGACGTATCAAGACTCGGTGGACAGGCATTATCAATGGATCGGAGAGATACAGCAAGAAGGGCAGCGATTTCTATTGGTTACCAGCTGTGAGTACTGCTGCATTCAGGGTACATAATTTAGGATTACTGAGAACCACTAAATTGAGTAACTGCAATTCAAATTACATTCAGTTCCTGTATAGGAGACACCACAGAATTGAACAAGGTAAGTTGTTCAAACACTACTACTGTTTAGCAAGGTAGTACAACTGTACTTTAAGGAAAAGATGTTTATAAAACTGGAAAAGCAATTATACCTAGTTTTCCTGATACTCCACAGCACTGTGTTACATAACGACGTTAAGTGGTTTATAAACGGGAATTGACATAACTGGTACGCAGGAGTGCAACTGCAGTAAAGATAAAAATGCACGGTAATTTCTTGCCATAACAGCTCAAATCTTCCACGCATTTGAGTTATGACAAAAAATTATTGCTCACTTGAACCTTTAAACCACATATGCATACAGTTATGTGAGTACCTGCATATAATGTACAAACCTCTATTTCCTTTATTTGGGAATCCATCTTAAATGGGCTGTAGATGTATTTTTTTTATCCTATCAAAAGAAATACAGAGAACAGGCGCGGCAAGATAAGTAGGGAGAAGGAACATTAGGTGAAAACAAGCACACACACATCTCCACATAGGTCCACACCTATTGTGGAATAGTGTACATTTCTTGGCTTTCATTATATTCATGTGACTAGCAAACGGTGGGAACGCAAGACAAAAGTTCTTACAAGCATAACAGACGGCCTGAACATCTGAAGTCATTTATTCCTGAGACACTTATTACAGCGTGACATCCCACCCCCAACCACAAGAAACGTATTTACAGATCGTAACTCAGCTGGCTTGTAGTCTGTGCCTTTCTGGTGGCACACACTCTCTGCTGCCTTTCATTCCAGCCGAGAACTTAATTAATTTACCCTGATTGAGCTTAATCACTCGCGTCAGGACTCCGTAGGATTCCTCAACTGCATCCAACTGGATCTGTGCTGCTTTGAGAATCTCACTTCCTCATTTCCAAACACCAGTAATGGCCAAAAGATAAAAGATCGTTTCATTTTTGCGTCAGCGATTACATCTAAATTTAGCTTTCGTTATCACAATATATCAGTTCATATTTAATTAGTATTAGTGCTCAAACAATCAAATATCACCCAAATTATGTTTAATAATAATGTGTTGAGCCTGGAGAATGAAAATGGGATAAAGGCAACACGGATTAGTGCATTTATTATCACAAAGGCTCCATTACGGCGCTTGTTTTCTGAAAGGGCACACAGCTTATTAGTACTGACAAAACCGACAAATAAATCGGTATTTTATGAGAACTCCGTAATGCTTTACGACAAGCAGTCTGGCACAAGCTGTAACCTTATGGTCCATGGCAATGGCAGAAGAAAAATGTGTCAGAGCAAAAGATTTATTTTGAAACACCATAATAATTGCTTTATTCATTTGTTTATTTTTTTATGCCGAATATCACCATGTGAACTGTTATGCGGTGTGGAGCTTGGATTAGCTTTGTTATTTTATAGCGATTTTTATTTTATGGTGAACATGTGTCTGCTGTGAAGCCCTAGGGGTTTTGTACTGAGTGGATCGGGTCAGGAGTAACGATACTGCCATAATAAACACTACCAGTAAAAAGTTTTTGCACATCACAGGTTTTTACCACTTTTCCATTTATTTCATAGACTGCATGTTGTTTATTCTTGTTAAGCACTGGAAAGTTGAGAGAACTATAAATGAAAATAAGTAAAATAAAACTTTGTAACATGGAAAGAGTAAAACAGAATGTAACAGTGCATGTCAGACCAGTTAACTGGTTGTGTGGTGATGACATAGTGAAATTGTTGGTTGTCCTTTAACTACCTACCCGTTTCATCCCACGAAACAGCAATATTTAATGTCCCATGTAGAAAGAATGCCTTGAATTTGCTGTGCTGTTATAACTGCTAGAGGAGGAGACTGATGAAAAGATGACATTTTCTTGCTAATAAAGGTACTCAAATGGTGAACATACTGTAAATCTGTTAGCAAAGAATATTGAGTGTATTTTTAGTAAATGATAAGTAACATGCAAATGTAGAAAATCCCCGTGTATACAAAAACTTTTGACTGGTAGTGTACAAAATCCACATTCCATAACAGACTACCAGAAGCAGGGCCAAGGAAAACCCTGGATGGGACCAGTCCATTGCATGGCACAAACTCAGGCATGCCAGCACAAACACTGGGCAATTTCACATACCTGCATGTCTTTGGATTGCAGGAGAAAAAAATATCCAGTGGAAAAGAGGAGAGCAAGCAAACAACACAGAGCTAACCCACAGCCCCAGAACTGTAAGGCAACAATGTTCACTATTTAATTTATGCATGTTTTAGTTAAGTATACATATGTTATTGTCCTTTTCCACCAAGAGGGCGTGAAAAGTTATGCCAAGACATGCTACTAAGGTTTGTACGACCACATTTTTTTCTGTGACAAAGGCTCTGGAACGGATCCATCTGGACTAAAGGTCACCATCCAGAAGGTCCATGTTATGTCAAATTGGCCTTCAGCCCACATAGGTCCCTGGCAGATCATAATATACAAAATCAAGATATTCCCACATTTTTTGAGCTAATGATTTAAATAATCAAGGTCATTTATGGAAAAAGTATCCCTATACTTAGAAACTAGGCGCACTTTTCCACCACACCAGGTACCATACTTTCGGTAATTACCTTTTTCTATTGACTTCCGGTCGAGTACCAGTACCAAACGGTTCCTAAGCCCTGGGGTACTTTTTTGGTTCTTTGGGGTTGGAACTTTCAAATGCTTTCTTTGTTGATTGGTTATGCAAATGCCTTGCCTCCAAAACACATACAACCTCCGTAGGTTCATTTTCTTTAAGTACCAAAAGCACGGTACCAAGTGCAGTGGGAAAGAACCATAGTACATCCTCCCTTATTGGCAATAATCCCAACTAAACCCTTTCCGCAGCTGCTGCAAGGATAGAGGGTATTTTGGCACATTCCTACATACAAATCTTTTTTCAGGCCATTGATATCTTGCTCGAATGACCCGCTACAGATCACACAACAGAGTTTCAGTGGGATGAGATGAGATGAGAACTCTTATTTGGCTATTGTCAAAGTTGGAATGACTTCAGTAAGACACCCTATTGTTAACGAAGACCCAAAGCACAGCAGCAAATCAAGTTGCATGATCCAGGTGCTTCTGAGTCTTTATCAAACTTACAAGGGACACCTGCAGATCCTTAGCGGTCATCTAAAAGTTCTTTATTACTTGTTTGAGTTCTCTACAGTGTGACCTTGCATTCAGCTTTGTAGGAGACCCACTCCTACGGACAACACAAACAGTGCAGAATTTATTCCATCTGTAAAATCTGTCAGACTGTGACCAGACAGAGTCTTTATAGTCCAAATAATTCCAAAGGGTTCACAAAATTTTGCCTACAAATATACATTTTATAAAATTTTTATGCAATGCTTTGAGATCCAGCTGCTAAATGTAGTTGTTTTTATTGCCACGGAATTTGGATTTTATACCTCATAACTAATGATTTTAAACAGGATAAATAACCTGCAGATAATGGTGCAGTCTGGTTACCTGATCCTTACACCTAGCGGGGACTCGTTTTCACAAAGCACAATAGCGGAAAGCAGATACCACCTACCTCATTCCTCACCATAAGCGAATATAACCGGTCTCATAATTTGACAGGCAGGTAGCTATATGGTGAAAAAACGCTATGTGCCACATTAAACCCTGAATGTGATCACTGATGTCTACTTAAAGTCAGGTTAAACTGAACGTCGATAGAGTAGACTGGAGTTACTGGGTCTACACAGTACTTCTTAGATATTTTCCCCCTGTATCCCATGTCATTGTGGCAGGAAATCCTATCACTACCCGGAATGTTGGCGTAGCCTCTGACGGGCCTCACAAAACTACCATTGTTATTTAACAAATCCTAACTGATGGTGAAGAAATCTCTCTGCGCAAATACGAAGTCCGACTGTACAAAGCCACAGAGCTGGCTTTCTTAGAAAGCAAAGGCTTCATTTCCTACCAGGTCCAAGACTCAGGTCAATAAAGTAAAAATCCAGACCAAGATTTCGTTTCAACCAAACAGCTGAGTATGCAATCAGCTGTGACTGCATACTCAGCTGGTTGGTTGAAACGAAATCATGGTCTGGATTTTACTTTTATACACCAGAAATTTCCATCTCTGCATTTAGTAATGTGGAACTTACCCAGGATCTGCACCTCGATGTGTCTCGGCTTCTCGATGAACTTCTCCACGAAGAGGGCACCGTTGCCAAACGCTGCCAGTGCCTCAGAGTATGCCCGCTGGTAGTTCTCCTCCAGCTCCTGTACACCCACAAATCAAATTCAATAGGCCATTACATAACCATTAGGAGACAGTCAATATGTCTCAGGAGAATAAGCAACACAAGGTGCGAGAAATGTATGTAGCAGACCTTTCCATATTTTTTTCTAAATTACACAAATTACTTTCCTTTATTAGTAAAAGTATTTAAAATGTCAGTAGCTTACTGTCTTACAAAAACAAAGCACTAGCTAAATTTCATTAATAATTGAGTTATGATGGAAATAAGGTCTCACACTCTGTTCTATCTCATTACAAAATATCTTAGTTGAATTCGAAGAAAACCATTTACCTTCCTTCTACACATATAGGTGGATTCTCAAAAAATTCTGAAGCCCTTTTTTTAATTTCGATGTCAGCATAGTTGCTGTGTTTTGCCTGCGTAGGGCAGTTTAGGTACCGTATGCAGAAAGCCATGACTTTAAATGTTCTCCATTAATTTAAATATGTCTATTTTACATCCCTCAACCGGAGGTGCTGTTTCCCCCCCGCCCGCCACGTATTACTTTGCATATTGATTTCCCTGCTTCCAGAGGCCCCTCCTCACCTCATAGTCCCTCACGACCCGCATTCCTCGCCCCCCACCCCCGTACGCTGCCTTGAAGATGATGGGGAAGCCGTAGGTGTTGGCGAACTCCTGGGCTTCTTGCCGGGAGGAGATGGGGGCGTTCGTCCCTGGGACCACTGGCACACCTGCACATCATGACACAGCCAGTGAGAGACTCTCATGTGTACCCCATACCTACATGAGTGGGGGGTGTTTCAGAGGAAGCTCTATGAGGCCCCTCAGGTAATATCGGACCTCACATACGGCCATTGCAACAGAGTGTAAAACTTAGAGAATGAACACATAGTTCCTAAGATCAGCTCTGTATTTCACAGAAATATACAGGTATATAGTCGATAATGTAACAACTGGCCAATAATGTAATAACTTTTTCCCAATAATGCAGTACGTTATGTTATTGTTATAAAAATGTATTAGATTATTGGCCAGTTATTATATTACCGACTAATTACATTACGAACGGAAAAAGTATTGTTACCGGCAGTTAAAATATGGGCAGTTATTACGCATCAGCCACTCACAGTAACTACCAATAATGTAATAACAATAAAGTAATGAATTCTTAATGTAATAAGTCAAAAATGTAACAACTGGCCAGTAATGTAATAACTTATACAGTGTAACAATATCGGAAAAAGTTACTATGTCATTGGTTGTAGATAATGTATTACAGTATAGGCCAGGTAGTACATTATCAACTTATTACAATTTCTAATGGAAAAATTGTGTTATTGGCAGCTATTACATTATTGGCTGCTACATCAACCAAGCCAGAGATACAAAACTTCAGAAACTTCATTATTCTGGTCCGACAGCATGAATTTCTTATGGAATCAGAGCTCATCCAATGCAAAAAATGGCTCCGCGCCATCTTGTATACAGAATGCCTGCCAATAAGACAAAGACGACAGCCAATCAAGGAAAGGGGCGTAACCTTACGTGTGCGTGTTAATAGGCTGTACAAGTAATGCAGTGACTGCAGGGCATCTGTGTTCATTACAGCACGTGATATGAATATACAGTATACGATGCCCTCAGCCAGGCATGTCAGACTCTGCATCACTGAGTATATGCTGGTATTTTCATACTTATCCACTTTGTAATGGATTTCATATGACTCCATATTTTCGTATGCTGTGTTTTCAAGACTGTGCTGTTGGGGAGGGAAGACTGAACACTGGAGAGCTAAAGACCCCTGATTGCATAGAGTCCACGTGAGGGACAAACTGGCAGATCACACACTTCGATTGAGGTTCATATGCTAATGAGAATGAGAGTCACATTTCAGCTACTGGGAAGTTCTGCTGGTCTGCTCTGTATATGGATTATGGCCTAGTACTACTGTAATCGAACGCAGTCAGGCCATATTCACACACCAAACAAATAACGGCAAGTGCTCTATGAGCGCTCTATGGATGTGGAGGTGCCAGCAGAGGTACCTGCGCGGATGGCGATGGCGCGAGCCTCCACTTTGTCGCCCATCTTGCGGACAACCTCGGGGGAGGGGCCGATGAAGCGGACGCCGGCGTCGGCACACGCCTGCGCAAAGTCGAAGCGCTCCGACAGGAAGCCGTAGCCGGGATGGATGGCATCGACGTTATTCTCCTGCGGCAGGGATGACAGGGGAGGGAAGAAGGATGAGCAGAAGAACAGAAAAGGTGAAAACATACCTGAGAAGGAGGGCCACGGTCAAATTCATATTTAAAATGAAATGGTTAATGAAAGAGCTGATGCCAACATGGAGTATTTTTCAGAGGGTTAAACGAGAGTGGAAGTACTAGAAGAAATATGTGCAGGGATTGCATGCAGATGGAAAGTTCATGGTAAATATGGTCCATTTAACATGAACTTTTTAAATATCAGACTTATAACAACAGAAGCAATTACCAATGCATTATTCACTTAGGGCTGTTCAAATCATGGTCCTCAAGGTCCAAGCACTGCGTTTGTTCCAGCCATCCTTTACTTGCCAACCAGGTGTGAAGCATATGGTCAATCAGAATTATTACACAAACTATCTGAGAGAACTAAAAACAAGGCCTGGATTTGGAATCGAAGGCCAGACTTGAAGAGCCCTGACTTCAAACTTGGATTAATCAGTCCAAATTAATACCTTGTTTGAAGGATATGACTCTCACTAAAACACATATTACAGCTTAAACCTGTGCATTAATAACATATACCGGCACTCATACTGTGAAGTGCAGATCTTTGATCAGAAGTTAGAGAGGGATTTTAAAGCCTTTAGGTATTTAGAAGAGAAGGCATGACCTAGATTAGTTTTATTACTTACGTATGAAAAAGCAAGTTCATTCAAGCAGAAGCAGATCAATCACGGCAAACTGCATAGATTGGAATGTGTCTGCACCTCCCAGAAGCTCTTCCTGTTTCTGCAGTAATTCCTGCGTGCTCACTGGTTTTAGCTACAGCTAAGCTACTAATTAGCCTCAGTCAATCTGCGATAACTCTGAATGAATCCCATGTTTCAAATGACATTGAGCACGTTTGTTATTTTTTTTAAACTGCATTGAGCCAAACATTCATTAGTTAAGGAACACCCCAGTGGTGAAAGATCATAAAATAGCTTCAAGTGTGTTTGTGCTAATTAAATATGGTCCATTTACCATGAACTTTCTTTTCAGATAAGACTTACAATAACAGGAGCAATTACCAATGCATTATTAATTTAGATTAACCAATCCTTCAGCCTTCAAACTTGGATTAATCAATCCAGATTAATACCCTATTTGAAGGATATGACTCAGCGCTTCATTGTAATCACTAATTAGCAGCTCAAATCAGACAATTGAAAATAAAAAATTAAAAAGTTTGCTTAAATATGAATCTCATTCAATGAAGTATTACTTGACAAACAAAATATGGTACTATCCATCCATCCATCTATCCATCCATCCATCCGTTTTCTGTCACCACTTATCCTACTCAGGGTCATGGGGGGTCCTGAGCCTATCCCGGTGGCTACAGGTGTAATGCAGGGAACCACCCAGGGTTTGGCGCCAACCCATCGCAGGGCACACTCACACACCATTCACTCACACAGGCACAGCTACAGACAATTTGGTAACTCCAACGAGCCCCAGCATGTTTTTAGACTGTGGGAGGGGAAACCAGAGTACCAGGAGGAAATCCCATGACGACACACGGAGAACATGCAAAATCCACACAGGGAGCTATGGCGGGGACTCGAACCTTGGTCCCAGAGGTGCACCACCATGCCACCCCTAATATGGTACTAACACTGATTGAAAATGAAATGTCGTGATTTTTCCCAGTCTGCGTTTGTTAGATCCAACTATACGCGTTAGTTAAACCCTAAACTCAGCTGTTTAAAAAGCTGACCTGCAATGACACCAGGACCAGGTGTGAGAACCCTGCAGAAAGAACTGACTTGTTTTAAAAGGAGTATATTGTACTGGAACCCTGCCAGTACGGCCGAGTCGTGCTGCAGCCTGTCGTCCTGCTTCAGATTACCGGCATTTCATGCACGCCTCCGGACACTGGGGGGGGGGGGGTGCATAATGCAGCGGTTTCTCCACCCAACAAGCTCTTACAGAGGGAAACTTGGCTTCATCATTTGGCAGACACCCTCGCTGTGATTAAAGCTTTTATCTCCTGGGTTTCTGTATTGCATCCATCCCCTGCAGGACAGTTTGAATGTGAAAGACTATGCATAGTAGCAGATGCGAGACTGGGAGCCTTTTTGGTTTCTGAAGACCTTCTCAGGGGAGTATGAGATTCGATTCACTGTGAGGAGTAAAATGCTTTTTGGGTTAATATGATATGTCAGCCCTGAGAGAAGGTCCACAAAAACTCGCGCTGAGACCAAAGGCTACAGTAAAGAGAGCTCACAATCACTGTTGTGCTGAATGCCAATAAAATAAAAAGAATACATGATTAAGTCAGTTCTCAGACAAAGAAGAGCTACCAGGAGTTCAATAGAAAAAGTACAGAACTGCAAGACACTCTTGGAAGGTGCTAACCATTAAACAGACAATTTAAGTATAATCCCCCAATATTACTGGAGGGTAAATCCAGCAGAACCTGGTAGGTTTCCAGTCACTAAGGGTATAACGACACCATTTGCCCACGGTTCAGTATATTATCAAGCCATTCGGTACGCCACCTGCTGTTGTATAATGACATTTAAATTCTAGCCCTCGAAAATAAGAACCTCAGACTTTTAGATGTATTTTTTTGGAAAAAAACACCATCTTATATTCACACCAGTACTTATAGGAAAATGACAGTATACCGTGTGCCGTGACACCCTACTGGGTAAGTAAACATCACGCTAAATCTATGGTTATTTGGAAAAATAGAGAGTTTGGTGTTTAATTAAATGGTGATGCGTTTTATTTTCTTAAATAGAAGGATACAGAAACCTTACTGTTACCATGGCCCCAAAACTGCACTACTTACCGAACCTTGGGCAAACTGTGTCGTTATAGCCCTACCAATCACCATAGCAGTTCCAGCATAGTCCACAATGCAGCCTCACCTTGGCCACTTTGATGATGTCAGGGATGTGCAAATAGGCAGCCACGGGAGTCAGCCCCTTGCCAATCAGGTAGGCCTCATCAGCCTTCTGCCGGTGCATCTGGCCCGTGTCCTGCTCAGAGTAGACGGCCACAGTGCGGATACCCAGCTCTGTGCAGGCCCGGAACACACGAATGGCGATCTCACCTACGGAGGATGGAGAGTTTCAGGCAATGACAAGGAGCCATATTGGAGCACTGCATCTAAAGGGAGGGTCACTGACTTTTCCTTCTCAATTTAATAAGCTGCCCAAACTGGGCTGAAGGGTCACTGACATCGTTGACGTCAGCATTGTTGACTTGATGCACTTGTAATGATTGTCAATCCAATGTGTTTGGTGTGACGCAATTTAAAAACTAGGTCAACAACCAGTATACAGATGCTTTCTGGAAATCCGCTTCCATGCCCCAAAAATACGAAGCAGAGAATTGGGTCCCTGGTGTAACCATTATTTTATGAGCCCGTCAAAGGCTTGGAGAAGCACTATACAGGTTAGGTCAGTTTCTAAATATGAAAAAAGGTTGGTGCATCTCAAATATCAGCACAGAGAACTACTACACCGGTTAGGTCCATTCCCTAATGTCTAAGGAGGTAGGTATGTCCAAACATCTCACATTTCTGTTTGTTAGCAAATTCAATCTTATCATAGATTAGGACAAATACCAAAGGAGTGTGACACGATGTCCTACGAGATAATGTCATGTGTACGAGAAAGAAGAGCCAGACCTCGGTTGGCCACCATGACCTTCTTTATGGGCTTGTACTCCACCTTCTGGGCAGAGGTGTGAGCGGCTCGGGGCAGCCAGCACAGCCTTCGCACAGCCAGCAGGCCGAGCCCCGCCTGTCTCATTCTCAGCCTAAGCAGCATCTTCTATGAGGGAAATACGCATGGGGGAGGTTAGTCAGAAAACAAAGTACCCATTTGTTCCTATGAAGGTAGAATTACTTGTCACTGGAGCTGTACTCTCTAGAGTCCACCGATTGTACTCTAGCTGTAGGGAAATGTACCTGTTTGAAGGTACAAAACTGGACTCTAAGGAATGCTTTTGTACCACTGGTGGTAAATTAATGCTGCGTGTACCTTGGGGAACAAAACTGTACTACCCCTGTACCCTGCAATTAGTATTCAAAGGTCAAAAAGTTTCAAGGTTTAAACAACCAAGCAACACAAAAAATTAAACAATTATAATCAAAGAAAGCTAATACACATTTAGAACCACAATTAACTACCAGCTCCAACAAAACATTGTGCCACCTCAGGCTTCTCAAGTAACTTCTATTTACTCCGGAATATGTAACTCAGAAATATTATACATGTACATATATAACAACTGAAAAGTGTGTACTAACGAGGCAGTTCATTTTCATAAGGTGATGAATAAGCAGCTTTTTGTGTAAAAGTTATTGTTGAAGATGGTAATAGCCCATACTGTAAACTAGTGCTGTCCCAAATGATTATTCTTGAAACGATTAATCTCGCAAATATTTTTTCAGATTATTCGACTAATCTAACAACTAATTTTTCGATTGATCTGATAAATTTATTGATAAGCAATCATTTTCAAGTTAGTCATTTAATGCAATTCACCCCCTCCCCCCCACAAATCTGAAATTCTCATTAACATTTCAATTTATTAAAACATTTCTTAAACATTAGAGCATTATTAACAAAAAAAGGCAAATCTTAAGCAATTCAATTGGATTTCTATGCTAGACTGAAGTTAATAATCACTGCAATAGTTTTTACTTAATTATTTCAGTATACCAATTTGACTTTAATGTTGAAATAGATGTTAAAACATGGAATGATTTCACAACTAGAGAAACATGTTTTTAACAAACACTAGCAAAGGCAGCTTAAGCTTACTTCAGTGACCAAGGAATGATTTAGGTGTTTAAGAGAAGTCATAAACGATAATTTGTCTCACTCTTACATTACAGAATAAGTAAACAGAAATATAAAACGGCTGAAACAGCATCATTAACGTCAGCTACAGCAGAGGTGCAGAAAACGTGTCATGACTGAAGACCGCGTGCCAGCCTTTTTTGTCGCGTGTTTCTTCAGAGGCTCCTGAGCTCTGCTGGTAGACGCAGCCACGTTGTCTCGTGCGCAGGGGGGCGGGGCAGGGCGGACGGTAAATTTCCTTTTTGCAGGGTGGTAGGAGATATCTCATTAATATTTATGGGAGAACTGCTACATGATTGGCCAGTACATGCCATACAAAATAGTGTGGCACTGCTGGCATCGGCGATATTAGACAAAACTATATCGGAATTCAGTCTATAATTGATATAGTTTTAACAGTGCCAGCAGTGAAACAACCAGCCAACTTATTAGCGGAATAACTTTGTATTGTAAATTAAAACAATGCCGCAGGTCCAATAAAGAAAATATTGATCTCTTCGCCACTCGAGAGCTACATCAGGTGGACAGTAAAGTTCAGTTATTAGCAGTCTGTTTTATTGCGCGATTCTTAAAACTACAGCGTTAACGTGCTCCTGAGGGGATAAAGTACTTTCCCTTACAACACGTTTAGCTTTAGTGCATTGCAGTTACAAAACATTTATGTAGTTTTACGCAACATTTTTATAATCAACATCGTCGATTACGTCAAATAATCGTTCCAGCCCTACTCTAAACTTCCTGCACAATTAATTTGTTTTTTAAGCATTTGAGAGACACAGTGATACAATAGACAAAGATTAATACTTTTGGCCCCGAACACAATTAACACTCAGCTCGGATACACACTAGAAAAATCAAGAAAATACATCCGAATTCCACACAATACAGTACCTTCAGTCTTATGAATCTGCAACATTTGCAAGAGGTTAAGACCAGAAACTAAACTAAGTCATCATGTGACAGCATAAACTAAAATACAGGGTTTATTGCATTGTTAAAAACCAGGGATCAGTTGACAAATACTCCATTTAATATTCAATATTAATACTGCCATTAAACAGTATTAAAAAAAAAAAAAAAAAAACTAAATCCACATTGGATGGGATTACTACGCACTGTTAAACCATTGCCTACTTTAACCCATGGGAAGCAATTAACTTACTGTGGGGAATGAGGTTAACGTGACTGACAGGGCATGATAATCCCACCGACAGAGTTTCAAGGACATATTTCTCCCCATTACTATTCAAACATCAATCAGAGTGAATGATATCTCTAACTAATGTCTAAGGAAAAAGTGCTTGGTAGACTTTGAGGCTGACAAAACAGAGAGAGCAGATAGCTTCCAATCTCAAGTAAGCATCCTTTGATTGATGTTTAAAATATTTTTCATTGTTGCTATATTTTCTATCTTGATGGAAAGCAGATGGTTATTTTACAATACATCCATCCAAGTTCCAACTACTTCTCCTGAGCTGGGTCATGGGGATTATTTTTCAGGGGGAGGCATAAAGAGAACCATAATTCATACAGAGAGGCCAATCATATCATTAACCAATGATATGTTTTGAAATCTGTGAATGACATGGGAGGTGGCATTCTGGAAGCCAATCAGCTTTCAACTGGAGCCAATGCCCCTGTGGTCCCACTTCTGTACACACCCCTGTCCAGGAGCCTCTCCCAGGCAGTACAGGGCTGGGGTACGCCCTAAATGGAATCAATTACAGGGAGGGCACACACACACACACACACACACACGGGGCAATTTAAATATGCCAATCATCCTAACCGCATGCCTTGAGACTGTGGGAGGAGACTGGAGTACCAGGTGGAAACCTGCATGACATGGGGAAAATATGTGAACTCCGCTCATGCCAAGGAGGTGGGACTCTGTAGATGTGCGGCACCAGTGCTTTGCTTTTTTACATTCATTGCAAAAGTAAGGAAATAACCAATCATTAGCATTATATCAACATTAAGATATTAAGGCTACCAATTGAGAACTGCATTAAAAACTCCAAAACATAAAACTTCATCCAATCCCATACAAGCCAGAAAGGGGCACACTTTGCTTATGTTCTAAGTACTGGTTATCAGAAGCAGTTCATGTCAGGACTGTTTAATAAGACAAACATTTTCTAAACATACCAAGAAGAATTTGTATTTTTGTATGTAAATTTTATATAATGAGAGCATATTATTCTACAGCAATAGTATTACAGGTAAAATTTTCTGTCACAGCATAGCAAGGAAAAAGTTCATAGATGATTAGAAATACACATCATAAAATAGGTTAAAAAAATTCTATTTAGCTATCCATTGTCCACAATTTGACTATACTTTCTGCCAAAGACATCCAATTTACTGCATGACTTTAAATCCCACAGGGTTGAACCAGAGTTAAGGAATAGTTAAAAAAAAAAAAAGCTAGCTGTATGTAAATGGACACAATATACTCATAAGGGAGTTTACAGTGTCCACTGCCTAACATAAGCTGAAATGGACGATGCTGACAAACGCTTCCCACCCACCTCTCAACCTCGGGCCAAAACAACCTTTCAGTTCAACAGCAGCAACAGCCATCCTTAATGATAAATACCCTCCGCAGCAAGTCTCCCCCCTTCCCTATTTTGAAACCTGAGGGTTGGATAATAACTCCTGAATTTTTTCCCCCCAAAATAGAAAAGCATTTCTCTTCCCTCTGTGCTGGCATACTCCCCCATAGAGACACATATAGACAAGGCGGGAGGAAGACAGCACTTATTTTGTACTTGAACGCCCATACTGGGGGGTAAAAAAAATTACCATGCAAGTAAAGTCTGAAGAATGACCTGTGCCACAAACAGAGGACTTCTTCTGCTACACCATTATGAATATAGACTCCGGTGTACAGCCACACAGCAGATATGTAATGACACAGTAACCTTGTCCATAACCGACTTGGCCAATCCAGCATGCTTTTTACCATTTAGGCAACAGGAACACTTCCATTCCAGCCAGTCCCCGTACCATTACACAGGAAGTAAACATCCATATGCGCCATGCAGCACAGTGTAACAGATAACTAGTTAATGGTCAAAGCAAAAGAGAGGCTGTAGTCATGGCTGAGGGGTTTACAATGTCACTGACTTTCTGGTTCAAAGTAGAACTTTGTACCAGACCAGTAATACATCACCACTCTTAAAAGGAGCTTTCCAGGGCTCTTCAAGACACAAGTGACTTCATCAGGGTTGTACAGGGCCTGTCAGGCTCATAAAAAGTGGCTTTTACAGGATCAAAGATGCAATGAATCTAGGGTGACCAGATAATCCATGTCAGGGAGGACACTGAGCCTGGGCAAGGTTTGTAATGCATAATGCATGTAAATGTTTGTTCTTAACAACCACTTTTAACATACTCCCCTACACTCAAAATCCAGGATCTGTTCAGCTGAAACCTTGATACATCTGGCACATTAACTAAGCAGTTTAGACTAAATGGCTATATTTAGTCCGTTTATCAAATTAACAGCCTTGGTTAAAAAGCAACGTGAATTTAAATAATTGGTCTACCATGACTATTAGAAGAAAGTTGCTTAAAACTTTAAAAACAAACAAATAATGGATTCTAAGACGTTAACTGTACTTTGCAGGACGGACTGCTAGCTATTTCATACTGGGTATGTTATTAGCTAATGTTAGGTATGTTGCAAGCTATCAGAGTTATATAAAACACTGCATTTATAACTGATCAGAATACATTCTTCTAAATTGTATTTCATATGTGCTTACAATTTACATTACATTTACGTTACTATAACATCAACTCTTCCCTTTATAGGCGATAAGCCGCAGGGGACTGGAGAGAGATGCTAATGGTATCTACAAGGCAGCATTTTCAGGAAGCGGCATTCTGTGGAATCGTGTGGATGCTGTCAGGTCACCCAAAAATCTCCCGCCAAAGGTCGGCTAAAGTACGCCCAA